CTCTCTCTCTCTCTCTCTCTCTCTCTCTCTCTCTCTCTCTCTCTCTCAATATAATTTTACGAAACTTTATTGAGAGCGCTAAAAATAGATAAAACGGTGCAAAACGATCTGAGAGATATGAAGTAATATCAAGCACCGAGTACCTATACTGATATAACAAGCCTTACAATTAGCACGTATATGTCGACGACAAAGTAGTAATCGCGTAATCGCACGCGAACGGCGCTCGCCGACGATTCCGGACGTTCTTCCGCGTTTTCAAAGGAAGTTCAGTACTTTGGTACTCGCGTCACGCGATCGTTTAAAGCAATCGGCCGTCTGCCACGAACAGTTTCCGTATCCCCGAATCAACCGAGAGCCCGCGCTTTGCTATCCACAATATCCCACGGCTGGTCGCGCGAATTTCGCGGCAATAGCTCGCGGACGCGGGTTCGTCTATACCGTATTTCAATGAAACTCGATTATCGCACGATCTTATCGTGGCGCCCGAGGCCAGGTGCGATATCGTACAACCGTATAGTGGAGCGTAGCTACGTACATAGGTACGTCCAATTTCCGCCGGAGGAATTACCTCTCCTCCACTAGGTTCTAAGACACGGTCGGGTCGGTCGTAACCGCGGCTTAACTCGCTATCGTCACACCACGCTTCCACCACAACGAGGCTACGACTTGTCTTCCTTCTTGCCTCTGTTTTACTGTTACGCTCTTTTAACGAGTGTACAATCTCTTGATGTATGGGAATTTATCTCGAAATCGGATTTCTCGCGTAAAAAGAAATTTAGAATCCAATTTTTCGCGTAAAGTTTTTATTTGCTTAATTATAACGATTGCTAGAGCCATATTACAGCGAACTGTTGCGCGTTGCCCTGGCTTTGTACACAATTATACATACTTTTTATTGTCATGTCGTCGTCTTTATATTGTGATAAAATATTCTTTAAAAGTCTTTTGGAACTTAGATTTTGTTTTGTTACAAGCTGCACGAGATACTTGTTTACTTAATAATTTTATCTCCTTCTTTGAAATATTAAAGAATATATTATAAGAGATGGGTAATCAAACTGATTTCATAACGAAATCTACGGGGAGTTGAGTTTATGACATTCCTTCGACATAGCGCGTTTCCTCGCGCGTCTTCATTCGCCCATCGTTTTCGCGCAATTTGAACAGAACCTTATTGCGCACACCGTTTTCTCGCTAAACCTTCGAAAGGGGAAGGAGAGAGGGGGAGGGTATAAACGTCGGTGTGTTGCACTGTCGTCCCGAGTGTAATTTTATTATCCCACGCCCCTTCCCGACACCCCATCTCACCCTGTGAAATCTCTCCTTCGCCCTCGTTGCCATTACGCGCCTGTTATTTAAGCAGTATTTTACCTTCGGTCTTTTTCCTCCCTCCCTCCCTATCTTCTCCCATTCCCAGCCGCGGTCTTCGTCATTCTCCATCTCCGGCTTTTACGAAGGAGAGCTCCTTGGTCTCGCTCCCCGTCGTCGCTACGGTAAAATTATGCAAGGAGAGGCGACAATGGCTATCTCGTCGTACAAGCGACGCTTTTCTTCGTCGTTGCCGCGGCACCTTGTATTTCCTCCGAGACGCCTCTCTCGTTTTACACCGAGAAGTGTGTCTCGCGTGGATAAGGCTACTGCCGGCAGTTCGCGGACTTTACACCTTCTGGACGATTGCTCGAGGAAACGTCCTGATGTACGGGAAACTGTGGTGCTACGTACGACCAGTAAAAAAACGAATCTTGACGCATTTCCTCGTGAACACGCTCGTTCTACTTTCGTCTTATGAGCGTCTCTCACTGATTGATGCGCGATTTGTTACTGGTACGAGAGCTTTCAAATAATGTCACGAATCTACCGAATTTCGAAATTTCAGTTATCTTGAATAAAAATAGTTAAAAGTTTGGAGGCAATCTTCCTTTGTGTATGTAGAAAGTTTACATATTATTTATTTTATGTTAAACTTGTATAATAATTGTTAATTTAGAATAGGATACAGATTTTCCATCTTATTTTAATATCTAATTTTAAATTGTATAAATATATTAATGATAAAGAGATTGGACACACACACACACACACACACACAAATGAATATAAGGCTGTTCGAATATTTCATAAAAAACGTCATGAGAAACATCATTTTACTTTTAGATATCTAATATATTCAATGTTTACGTACGTTCGTGTATATTTGATCGTTTTAATGAATAGAATATTCTGTAAGATATATCTACCCAATCATGCAAATTATTATTAATTAAAGATTAGTTGAAAGCTCGTTTCACTGAGGTTCCATGAAACGTACATGTTACAAAACGTCCGAAATGTTTACTTTATAAATTTTGATGTATTCTTTATACTGGGTCACGGAGAGAAATTGCGCGGTCTCGCCCTTCTGTTATTTCTCACTTTTGTTAGCAGCATTGTAACAGTTGAAAGTTTTAGCAGGTCTCGCTTTGGCGTTATTCGTCTTTTACCGAGACAATTGTATAAGACGCAATTTGTGCGAATGTTTCCGGCGGGAAAACGACTTCAAATTGATACAATAGTCGGATTAAATAATACTGCAATATATGATAATATATAAATAAAATTGATATAATATAAGTTGTTGCAATATGAATAAAATTAAATTATTGATATATTTTAAAATGTACATCGCAATAATATTAATAAAACAAATGTCGAAATTCGCAACTGCGAGAAATGTCCTTTGTGGCATATGGCGGAAATATCCGAACAGAATAGTAGATATATGTATAATACTTACAGTGCACATGTAGCATCATTCGTTTGCTGACTGACGGAGGCACTCCGTTGCTGGCGATGCACAGGTAGGCGCCCATCTCGCCCCTCGTTACTTTCGACAAAGTCAGCACTTCACCCTCTGCAGTGGGTACTGCAATATGCAAACACGAAGGGTCTCAGAAGTTAGCTCGTTACACGTAATCAAAGTATGCAACATTAAGACCCGATCGACTTAGCAGATTAAACGTACAGGCGCGTAAACGTCCACGTGGAAATTCGCCGTTATTAAATTTAATATCTATTTCTGATACGACTTATCATAGATGCCACAGTTCTGATTCAAAGAGTACTTGGAGCACTGAATACGACCAGTTAATGTCGCAAATGAAGAGGTATCAGTCAGCTAGTAGTACACATTTCAACGGTTTTTTTTTAATTACGGATTCAAATTTTCAAATTTAAAATAGCATATTAAAGACGAAATAGATTCTTGAATAATTTCTTCAATTAATTTAATATGTACCGGATGATTAAATTTTGACTTTAGCCGATCGTGGCGACTGTCCCGGTGGGATCAATTTTAATTGCGCCGACAATTTCGAAGAAAGTTGTTCGGTATCGCAACACGCCGCTGTATCGCTCCCAAGGGAAAAAAGCGAGATTGACTGGCGCGAAATAAAACTTGGAGCCCTTACTTTTTGTCTTGCCGGGACCGGTTCGTGAAATGATTTCGGTGCCGTCTTCCCGCTTCCACACGATCTCGGGCTTGGGATAACCGCGCGCTTTGCACACCAGCTTCGCGGCACCTCCCTCGGGAACCATCATGTCGTTCGAGGTCTCTTCTGAGATGATGTCTGGCGGTATTACCACCTCCAAAAACGCGCTCTGCGAATGCAGGAGGAGATAAATTATAGCTCGTCTACGTGTATACAGCGGTGCACGCGGAAAGAGAATATGGAGTGTTAGGAAATATACAACGAAACCACCAACCGCGGATTAAAGCGGAGAGCTTCGAGTCTGAGGTCGCAATTATAAATCAATGAACTTGAAGTAATTTTCGCGTTACAGAAATACTCCATTCGCTCGACAATTGCGTGATAATTATTAATTATTATACATTTTGGGCTGCACTTGCGGTATAATCTTACAAAAGACATATGTAATATTATGGAATTATCCTTCGCGCGAAACAAGTTATCTTTATCAAAGTCACATTTTACCTGGCTCTTCATGGGATCCGTGTTGACCTGGCACATATAAATCCCGCGATCTTCCCGGCGTGCACTGCGAATGCTCAACGTCCACGTGTTGTAGTCGCTGTGGGTCACCGACAGACGAGCGTTGTTCGTGATCACGTGCTCGTGAATCGCTAAGATCGCCTTGGTGTCTGCTTTAATCCACGCCACCTGGCCTCACAAACCCATTTCTTAGAGAGCGATTCGGAACCGTTTCCCCGCCTTCCCAAAGCCTACCTAATCTTATCGCCGTGCGTAACTCGTTAATTAACGATTCCTTTCCCGTCGCTGATCTAACCGGAGTCTACCTCGAGAGATATTTCACGAAAGTGCTCGTTAAGGCAGATTTTTTTTATAGCTTCCGCAGTCTTATACCTTAATCAATCCTTTCGGTATCAGATTTGGAATAAAATTTCTAGAACTCTTTTTTTTTATTTTAATGCAACCAAAATGAAAGCGGTTCTTTATGTAAAAATGAGAACAAACGATGTTTAATGTGCCTTAATATGCCGAACATAAATACCGAAAGAGTTAATTATTACGCAAAGTTCTGAGAACTGCTCTGTACAACGATGTCGAGGAAGAATAAAACTTCCTACTAACCTAAAGCACTTTCCTATCGCTTTTCCCGGTTTTTCCTTTCTACGTCAGTTACTCCTGAAATATTCGGAAGTACAATCTTAAGCTTTCTGTCGCGATTCAAATATGAACTCGATTACGATAACGTCTGCGAGACTTTGCGCAGAAAGAGAGATATAAACACGGGACGCTTTCTATTCGCGAATGAATGAAATATTCGTATACATCGCCTCGAAGGCAAGCATCAAAAGCCGGTATATTCTACGAAAGAATCTTCTCTTTATGGCGAAGTCTGCTACGGCTCTTCCGCCACCATCTCTCGACTGGAAAACTGTACCGTTGCGCGCCGCGACGGTCTGCCACTGTGTAAATATGAAGAATTCCGCGAGCAAGAACACGATAACCCATAGAACGTAACTTTTCCAGAAAAATAAAGAAAGGTAGCCGCGAGAGATAACGGTTTAGTAGCAAAGTTCAGGTGTTTTTACTCTCACAGGATGTAACATTATGTTTACATCAAAAACTCGAGCGAGCTTCATATTAGATGTAAAAATAGTAAATAGGATAGAAATAAACGTCGGACAAACACACATATTTCGCCTGTGTGATCTCGCCGCACATATTGGTATAATTTATTACAAGTCCTTCACGCTCCCGTGAATGTTCCCGCAAGTTATATTACTTCTGAAGTAACTATCGTGACTATTCCGAATGTGGGTTACCGCGCTTTCGCTCGCGATCCTTCGCTATCATCAACGCTAAATTGAACTCTCACCGGTTATTGCAGTTCGCTCCAAGCCGCTGATATACGCTATTAATTAAACCCATTTTTTTAACGGATTAAAACCAATGTAAAAAAAAGAGGAAGAGAGGCTGGGCGGAGAAAGGGGGCGAAGAAACGCAATCGCGACTGGTTAACATGTATTAATCGTCATTCCGCCCCACATTCTGGCTGAAGCTATTCTGAAAGAGGAAACTGCAGCGTGGCGTATCGCGAATATTCATCCTCCTCTTCCCGTCCCCTGCCCTCTGCCCTACTCGCCTCTCTCTCTCTCTCTCTGCACAGATATTATTGGCATGAAATTGAACCTGTACCATGTCGAATATCTGACCTCGCATCGCTCTGAAAGGCTATCTATCAACCGACAAAGGAGTTCCGCGGTTCTTATCGATAACCCGCGAGCGGAGTGTATAGAGAGCGGAGAATGAAGGGGGGGAGGGACGGTTACGGAGGCGGTTGGGATGCAAGAGGGTGCGAGTGTTTGGTAGTGACGGCCCTATGAGTGCCTCCACTTATAATATATTATGCCGGAGTATAAGCGCGACCCCATTCTCCCTTTCGGTGCGCCCTGCGACGTTCCGGGGAGGTGGCAAAGCACCCTCTCGGAAAGGAAGGGACGGAAAAGTCGCCGCGAACGACAGATGCTCGCGACTCTCAAACATTTATGTCATATTGCCGTCAATTCATTCACTGATGATTAATTGTTGTTGACCGAGAAGAAAGAAAAAGGGGGAAAAAAGAGAAAGGCTAAAAATATTCTCGCGTACGGAACAATGTACGTGTGTTTCAAGAGCTCCTCGAAATTAAAAAGTCAAAAATATGCTTTAAAAATGAATAAAACATAAAGGGTGAAAAATTACATTTATGAAATTTATAAATTCATGAAGTTTGTATTATATTTGATGTTTGTAGGATAAGCTGGAAATATGAATATAACATAACAAAACATGAGATTGAACAAAAATTATCTCTCAATAATTATGAAATAAAGCTGATAGACAAATGATTTTTTTCATGGAGCTCTTACTTCGCAAAACTCTGTAACAGATTTCTCGTGAATATGCGATATGAAAATCGCTCTTGGAAGTGAAAGAACGTATCCATAGCAACGTGAGTCGGATAATATCGTGCGAGCAACTAGGACGGCAACTCGATGGCGTGCACAATATGTCGCTTCGCATCCGAAAGCTGAAACTCGAAAACCGAGCGACCTCGCGATTCTGCTGCGCCCCCAAAAAGGGAAATCCTGTATACGGCAAGACGAAAACCGTCATTTTCCCTTTCCCTCTTTGAGACACGCAGCATCGCGCACATGTTTTCTTGAAGCAGGAGTGAGTCACGAATTTGCAGTACAATGAAGGAAGCAGAGGATTTAAAGTAGGGAAGAAGATGGGAGGACGACGGAGATCTTAAAGGGTCGTGCCTTGTATGGAAACGAGCCTCTATCTTAATGCAAAAACGTCCTCTTTATCTAATGCAGCTTCCTCTCTGGGTACTGTCGGCTTACGATTTTCCTCTCCTCCTTCTCCTCCTCCTCCGGTCCTCCGATCTTCGTGGTCCTTTAAGGAGGAGAAACCACGAAGGAACCCACGGAACAGACGGATAGATAGACGTAAAGAGATTCGGGGATGAGAGAGTGATGGTGAGAAGGGGGGAAGGGTGGGTTAACCTCCCTAGTCCGATATAATATCGCGTTACGTACACCTACTACCCCTTCCCCCGGCCTTTGGCTCCACGTTCCCTCCATTCTCGGCCCTCTTTCATATGCAAAACCATCGTCGGCGCTCCATTGTGGCGCATTGTGGGATCGGGAGCCTCGGTCCAGTCTACCACACCTCGTTTATTTCCCGCCATCTCCTCCGCGCCTCTTCAGAACCCCTCACCTAACTCTTCATCCCTTCTCATCTTTCGCGTTTTATTCGTGGCTTTCCAACGCCGTCACCCACTTATATAGTGCGACTCGTCCCTGAGTTCTTATTTTCTCGACTTTCGACCGCCAAGGTACGGTTGTTCCCTTTTTTAGAGCGGCGTGTAATATAAATGGATAAACTCGCTAATTAAAAGTTTCGCGATTCTCCCTCTTCTTGTCCCCCATCACGATGCTCACTGTTGAACAACTCGGTCGGACAGCCATCCCCTTGCCCTGCGTACCTTTATTGACATCACGGTCGGGATTCGAGATGCTAGAGTATTATCTTGTAATCTTTGTACTCGACTTTTTTTCGTCCTCCTTTCTTCCCCGTTTTCGTTCTACGACGATTTTAACCCTTTCGAGACGATTTTTTTTCTATTATATTTGAGATTTATATTTATGATAAAAGAAATTAAGAAAATTTTTCTATCTAATTTGGGATAATTTAACAATAAAGAATTTATTCCTCTTTTATGCTTGGAGCTTTAATAATATTCCTGAAATTTGAAGTAATACATTATATAACTAGTAAAAATACAAATTTTTTTAAACAAATAATTTATAGCATCTTGAAAGGGTTGATTCGAGAATTTAAACACTACGCGAGCTCTGCGATCTGAAGTTTATTTTCATAATTTACTTGATCTTTATACAATATTTGTACAGTTAAGTAAAATGAAAAAGAGAATAAACAGAAAAAAGAAAACCTTTCCAATAAAATTTTGATTAATGGCGCGATAATAATTTTAGTGCGCATCCTACATACATGAAATGTGATTGCTTATTATACATTGCTTATTTCACCACGGATGTGCGCGAAATTCGTGCGTCGCGCCCGAGAACACGATAACGGTTGGGTTAAATGTTAGATTTTATGGCAGAACACAACGTCGAGCGTCGCGGCGCGGCACGGCACGGCACGGCACAGTGCGGTACGGCACGCTTGACGGTACAGCGAAACGCACTCATCCGCGTAGCCGCGTGCGCGGAATTCGAACGATTAACCGATTCACGTGACACGCACGTTTCGGACGGAGATTACTCGTTCTAGCGTACGCTCCCTGGACGTACCGAGTGATACGAATAAAACGCGCTAATCTCCTTTGTTACTTCGTGTAAGAGCGCATCGAATAAGCTGAAAGCTGGATCCAGACCGAGTAAACGAGTGCGAATAAACGCGGAATAGACCACTTGTTTCGATCAGCACTGGTGACGCCATTCTCGTTAAAGCAAACTCTTCACTGGCGTTTGTTTGCACTGGTTCACTTAGTCTGGGATCCGACTTGAGATCATTTGTCTCGGAAGTTATGCAATCGACGTAAATAAGATTTAAAAAATTGCATATTTAACGATAAATATCGGTTCGAGACGTTTACAAAGAATTATTCGTTTAAACGCACAGATATTGAAACCTTTGGTTACGCTTGTTATTCTCGACTTACTTTTCGTACTCTTAACTATGTTAACTTGATAATACGTCCTATGACACGTAAGATATTTACACATAACTTGGACACAATCGAAACTCATACGAGAAGAGAAAGGTTTCGTCTCTAACTGAATCGCTAAAATTGATTGCTGCTGCTAAAACGCGACCTATCGTCTCCGATCTAAACTCTAATATTAAGTTACATATCTCGTTTATTTGTCTAGATTATTAGTGCTTACTGTTAAAAACATGCTCATGCAACCTCGTGTACTCTCCGTTATCATATATTCATGCATCATTGGCATGCCTCTCGCATATAGACAGGAATTCAGTGACACGCTAAGAACAATACGTATCCAGCACGATCCCGCTCCTCGGACTCGGCAATTACTCAGGGCGCATAACACGTCCGAACAATGTGCATCTCAATCCTTCTCCAATGCAGCTTGCACCATATTTCATTTCGCACGAACATTCAAACCTCAAGTGCGTTTTATGCATTGTAAACAGACACATGTGCAAATAGAAATTGTGCATTCGTGGACAAGCCGATGTGGACCTGAATGTTTTCGTATCGGAGGGGCAGGGCACGGAACGATTTACCATGATGACATTTTGGGAAATTGGTGCAATGACGCACAATTGTAACCCGCTCGAACTCGAATGAGAAAGAGTTACGTCGGATAGAAGATCGTGATATAAAATAACAAGACGTTTGGATGGACATTATATCATATCCCATAATTTTTGTTAGAAAAATATTTCGTATTCTTTCGAGATATTCGCAAATTGACGCTCTTTGTGCAACCAGAATCGATATAATACGTCTATAATATTCCGTTAGGCGTAACGATAAAATGTACGAAATTTGATAAAAATACAGAGTATCTTCAAGACAATAGTAAGTAGAAATAGGAATTATCTTGAGATCATGTAAGATAACATCACTTGTGTTTATTTGGCACGAATGTGCTTAAAGTTGGAAATTAATATGCCTAACGTTTGTAATTATTGATTTCATAATCTGTCATTGTTTCATGCCCATCATTCCTGTTTTGAAATATCCTTTGAAACTTCTCGTCTCCAGATTTCCAGGTATGCTATTATCTACCGAGGCAACAGAATCCAGAATTTTTTTTATACAAAGTATTGTGTATTGAAAGAAGTATAATTAGTATAGGCTAAATCACGCATCTTTAAAATTACTATTAAATAAAATTATCGTATTATTAAATACATAATTACGAGATACCAGTTCGTAAGCTGTATAAAATTGTTGTTTATAAATATTTTAACTACCTTTTACGATCCACTTTTGCATTCATTAACTCTCGTTCAAAACAAAGGTAGATGCTGTTGCCTGGGGTGATCGTCGAACTACCCCGGTTTTCCAGCGGGTGCGATTAAGCATCGAAGCTTAAATCTAACAAGCGGAAAAGCCGGATACTAGGCCTGAATATCTTCGCTGTAGGCTCGGGCTCGTATTGGCCGATCCACGAGATTCGCTTGGAGCATAGGGCATTCAAGTTGTAAGCAGTGTGCTCGTTGCGCGTTTAATGTTAATTTGAACGTCATCGTTCTGCCAGTTCCTATTCAAGTCGATCAGGAGTGAAACTCAGTTTGACGGATAAACTTGTTAATCATCTTCATGAGTTGTTCGAGCTCTTTTGTCCTGCGAAAGTTATCCGGGAATGAGAAAGGAATGTGTGGTTTTCGATCAATACTGATACACGTGCTATTTTCAAATCTGAATGTAAATATCAGTCTGATGAAGAAAAAATAATATTTGTAGTACAGACATTTATGTATCAATTGCTTATGTGGCTGGTAACTATATGAATACGGAGCGTTTCTCTTAATGATCGAAATAAAGAGCTACGAATTAATCAATTGAATTGACACGAGTGGTTGTTGATCGATCGCGATGATAAATTGTGCATGTCACGAATGTATTTTCAAAATTTTATCGTTATGCACGATACACTATACAGGCGAACTGTTTCTTTTATGATAATTACGCGATGATCGTATTTTCTGGTGTTTTTTTTTAGTTTGCAACGATCGAAACTGGTGGATATGTTGTTACGCAAAATCATAATAATTGAAATTACTCGGATTTTCAGAGATGGCAAAGTAAAGATGTTCAAATATTTAATATCAACGAGAAGTGTACTTTATTCTTTAACAAGAAAATTTTTTGCTCAGAATTTTACTCTTTTTAGACAATACGTTATTATTTCAGTTTTTTTTTTTTAATATCTCATGCGTTACAGTATGGCACAACAACGATTTTCCATTTTCGTATAAAAATAAAATTGAGATACACGAATATACAATATTTTCTGATGCAAGTAATCCCCTAAAAATTTTAATCTATTTATTAGAACTGAATAATGTAAGAAATTTCATCCATTTAATGAGATGAATAATCGATATGATCATTTTCATTTGCGAGATTTTGCGAAAAATCAATGAAAACAATCGCGAATCTACGAAAACAAAATTTTCCTTTTACTCTCACAGATCTCTATACGCTTAATAATTTAAAAGAAAAGAAATAATGAAACCGTCACGATGATCCTTATTAGAAAGGAACGTAAACTCCCGCGCAGTGGATTGTCCGACCGTGTTAAAAGAAAGAAGTTGAAACGCGGGCGAGCGCATTGCCGGAAGTAATCGCATTTTCCAACAAGTTATAAACTCTGACAGTGCCAAGTTTAATTAAAACCTACGACGGTCGCGCGGGCGGCGCCGAAATTTCTTTCCCCGGGCGAGAGGTCTCCGCGGCTTGGGGGAAAGGGAGCCGGCTATCGGGAAGTTATCGGTTCAACAAGTGGAGCCGTAAAGCGCTTAATACGCCACATCGGCGATATGTTCTCGCGCGAAATCAATTTCGCTACATATAGCGGCGCTGTGTGCCGGCCTTGATCAATCTTCCTTCCATTGCCGGGATCGCGCCATTACCAGAAAGTGTAAAGCGGGACTTACGCAATTACACGCGGCTCTGAGCTCTCTACAGGGTGTTCCGAAAAAAGTACAAATAACTCCTTTCCAGCAATCTGTTTTACAATTACGAACTAGAAAGTCATAAAAATTTTCGATTAAAACATTTGTATATAAGACATTATATTTTTAAAATAATTGCTATTTGATATATGATACAATTTTGCTGTCCAATTTGAAGATTTTTACATTTTAATAATTTTACTAAATAATTTTATCGATATTTGGTAAAATTGATAATGATATTAATTAAAAATGTGTTTTATGTGTAATTACTTTCACGAAAATAAATTTCCAATCTCTTTTGAAGTTTCCTGCCTGCCGACAGAAGATTAACCGAGAGAGTCACTTAATTAATATTCATATTTCCCGCAAATTTGTTAAAACAAATTCTAAGTAATAATAACCATTTTAACATGTGTACTTTAATGAAATCAACGATGCTTGTGATCTTATCTCGGACATTCACGCGGCGAGAAGCCGAAAAAATTATTGCGCCAGTAATATTGGACGTGGTCTTTTGGAAAGCATGATTCCATGGAAACGGGGGTGGGCAATGTGCCCGAAAGCCATTGTCAAAAAAAAACAATAGCTGCAACGATGGATCGGCTTTTTTTGTATCCATTCATCCTCTCGCGATTCGAATTCTTTTCAGAGAAAGGACAAAGGTGGAGATCGATCGATCGATCCGAATAAATTCCGTCCTGGCTACGCGACGCGTTAATATTGATAACATCGATCTCTCGATAAACGTTTGGTCTACTTTGCGTTTCAAATCTCTCTACAACATTAGGAAGAAGATGCTAGCTTGAAACACGCGAGCGTATGTATTGCGATAGCTACAACTCCAGTATCTTAATTGCGATAACTCGCGACGCATAACCCGCGACGCGAACAAAATGGGAAAGCCGTTATTACGTGCACGTCTTAAGTTCGGTAATAACTAGACGCATATAACTATCGGCTGTAATGACGGGTAATAATACATTCTTTCGACGCGCGAAGGCATCATTAACCATTTCGCATGGAAGAGTCTCTCTCTCTCTCTCTCCAGCGTGAATTGTCAGTATTTCAGACGAAGTGAACGAAGAGAATAAGACAGAAGGAACGTGAAGAGACTATGAAACTTCGGTTGCCGCGTCGTAGTCGGGCGGTACCTGTATACCGGCTGATAGATGAAAATGGATGTCGTATACAGAGAGATAGTTGGTGATGGTGGCTGCTCTGGCAACTGTGGTAGTATACATATATATAATTTTTTTTCTTTTTTCATAGCTGGCAGTAGTGCAGTTAAATGCAGTGCTGTGAAGTGCAGGCACGCGCGCATATAGGTGGTGCAGTAGTAGTAGTAGTAGTGACAGTAGTAGAGTTAGTAGTAGTAGGTAGTAGTAGATAAGGTAGTAGTCCATTACAGGCGGACACAGGTTAATGGTAAAATAGTTACCCGGGCCTTGACGCTGCCAGAGTGATCTCCGCTCGCGGAGGAGGAAGGACTCACCCGGTATCCACCGAGGTTGTTCACCACGCAGGTGAAGGTAGCGTCTCGACCCTGCGGGATCGTTACGTTCTCCAGCGGGTAAGCGAAGTCTGGCTCTAGCCCCGTCACTGAAACAGACAACAACAACGGTCGTTCGTCAATTGAACGCAATTCTTCGTGCTCCGCTTCATTCCGCTTCATCGCCGAAAGTTTCGACGGAGCAAATAACTCTTTAAAAAGAAATTATTAACTCTAAGATTTAAGAGCTAAGATTCGAGCATTTTTTAGATATATTAAAATTATATTAGATGAATTAGATATTATATGTATCAGGCTAGAAAAGGAGGATAATTATATTTATAAAGAAGAGCGTTACGTGTTTTACATTTTAAATATCATTTAAGCATATTGCATATTAAATTAGTTAATTCTCGACAGAGTAAATCGGAAAGTCGCAGTAGTTTCGTGAAAATATCCCGAGGCTCTTTTGTCACGGTACGCACTGGATACGCGGATATTTTATGTCGTGTTATATATTCATGGAAAAAAACGGGCCTTTGTAGAAAGTTTGGCGTTATGGAGCATTCATACAGCTATCTCATAACAGGAACTATCGTGCACTATGCGCGAATGCCTAAGTACCGGTGGATTTTTTTGCGAAACGTTCAAAAGTGACAAACGAGTCAGTGACGAAACTTTCCAAGCAATTTTCTCACATTTCCCAGCTATCTATATAAATTCTAAAAATAGATTTGTTTAAATATTATTTTTACCTGTATTGTTTTCACTAATGTAACAGCATGATACTTGTATTGTAGGATGTAATGTAAAAATAACGATAATGAAAAAATAAAAAGATATGACATTAGCAGTGACAATGACTTGATTAAAAGAAATTAAGAGATCAAACATTTCTTTATTACTGTCCACTGTATATACAAATCACTGTTAACGTGTTCAGCAGCGGCACTAAATTAATTTGTGGAATTCAAATAGTTTGTTAACAGTATCTCATTGTGGTGCTTGTATTTCGCAGGCTGTAACGATCCAAATCGACAACATTTAGCCGATTTACGATGTAAAAGTAATCAACGCGGAATTAACACCTGTCGCATGTGAAATAGTTTCCCGGCGAACTTTATCTCGGAACCTATATTTCGCGAGTAAACGATACAGTGAAATTGCCGGAAATGTCGCTCGTTTTGTGTGAAATAGTATATCATTCCTTTTTTTAAATATTTCCTACCTACAAATCCAATATTTTTATTGTATTACTTCAATGTGGCATAAAGGTACTTTTCTATTATTTATAGTAAAAAAAAGTGTCTTATCGTCTGTCATTTCATCATCTAGAATTGAATATGAATTAATATAATAGACTTGATGTAGATTTTGATAATTTTATAATTTTTGGTTACACACTTGTCTAAACCTATAAACGTATATTAAATCGTAAACGATATTTTATTCATATAAAAAGAACAAAGAATCCAACAATCACATTTCGTGTAGTAAGAATCGAGAATTTCCGAATAGCGACGCGATAGCGAAGGCAATACAGGAAATTGGTAAGCTATGTGATGGAAATTCTATCGACTATATTTTTTCTCGCCGCGGTCGGACAATCGCTGCTATAGCAGGATTTAATATTGGAAACTCAATCCCTGCTACTTCTAACACTTACTTTTGTGAACGAATTTGCACATTTTCACCGTAGCATTCCGCGTGCGAGATTTAATAACTGTAGTTTCAATAAATGGGATTTTTCTTGTGAACTGCTCGATCAATATACAAAAAGTACTCTACATAGATTTTTTTGTCAAAAAAATATGCTTTATGAGTAACAAACGTAAGAGTCGTAGTATCCCATTTTACTATATTGCAATATTTAATGTTTATTAAGAAAGTATAAAGATATATTTGGCCCAAGGAAGAATGTTTGTTAATATTATAATCATAAACGCACTCTCTCGATGTTTTTACATATCATCTGTCATCTTTAATATATTTTAGTATATTATAGCTTTTTTTATGTGGAGCGCTCGCAGCCTTTGCCCGGTTTGCAAAAGAAAACCGGAATATTACGTAATGCATCATATGGCCATTATGTAATTGCAATTGCGATGCGGAAGAGGCGTTTCCGAGACAAAGAGAGATTCAATATGATGCTCGTGTCTGGTGAACGATACAAAGAAACTGACTTACGAGAAAAGTTCGCCCGTCTCTACCGCGAGAAGAACCTTCGCGTATTGAATTTAAATTCGCGGCTGGCAGCAGCAGCAGCAGCAGCAGCCGTAGTAGTAGCTAGTATCATCTAATGTAACTCGGTTATGTGAATTTTATGAGGCCAAATGGAAGGTGGGAAAAACGCGCCTTATGAAAGCCGCTGATCGATTTATCCGACATTCTCACGGTGACAGACGCGACTAAAAATGGTTGCGCGATCTTCGCACTTCGGAAATATTCCGATATCTTTACAATGTTGCAGTATCTTATGGAAAAATTATCTTTCCTTTATGACACAAGAAAGATTATATCAATTTTTATATACGCGATAGTGGCAATGCGGACGGTTGTCAATAAATGTTATGTATATACGTTCTATTTCAGTTAATACGTCATTTTAGAAGACTATTAGTTGATTAAAAATATTACCTCTCGATATTATCGATAATCCGTATTTGTGTAATTACAAATCACAAATTAACGTCCTTTTTTTAAAATACACAATGGAAAAATAAGATGAATTTATTTTATGCTGCGCATAAAACAATGGCTCGTTACCGAAATGCCAACAAATGTTTATTTCCACGACCGTTGAAAACCGGCAAAAGCTCCGCGTGTGGCTAAAATGAAACGCTTTATACCACGGCTACATTTGCAACACCATTTGTGACGCTAATATAATTGGTTACGCAGATACGGGCGCTGTAATTTGTTGCAATTACGACAATGTGAGGTGCTACGCTTTAAGGGAAATAGCTTTTTCTCCAGAGGAGGGGTAAATTTTACGGTCACGGTGTGACGAAGATGTAGGACATATCGCGGTATGCCGCGAAGAGCCGGGAATTTTGCCGACTGAATTTTCCGGCGATATTTGAAGAGTGACGTACATACGTAAACATTAAGTAATTTTGCACGTTTGTAAAATATATCGAAATTTCTGTTCATGCTAAACATGTCGACGGCCGAATAAATTGAAACAAATAGAATTCACTGCCATGTCATTGCTGATAAATATTATGACGCTATTTCTCAATGTTTCTAATGAAAAGTTTCTCTCTTTTTTAGTTTAAAATAGAAATATTCTGTTACCATAATTTTGTTTAGTACAATTCTTACTGTATTCAATGCCAATTTACATGCAACAAATGTGGCTCCTTCTACTTTGCAAATTATTTTATTAATTTTTCATATTTTATATATTATTGTACAAAATATAAAATTAAAATACTAATGTAATATGAAAAAGCGATTATATGCAGCTTTAGTGACTCTGATGATACTATGGAAATTAATTAGAGTCAAAAAATTTAATATAGAAATATGTTGAGAAGTTACGATAATTTTTTAGATATATGTAACAAATTTTATGATATAATATAATTTTTTACGCATAATTAAGTAATGATAAACTGATTACTCTAGTAGAAAATTTTAATTATTATAATTTTTTAATTTTTTTTGTTTTAATAAAAATTTGTGCAACTGACTAATAACACTACTTCAAGCGGATTATTAAATCTAATTAAAAATTGCAGAATAAAGTTAAATCTGGCGTTAACTCTGCTTTGATTTAAAAATGAAAATTAATTTATAATTATACAATATTTTCTCAGAAATTGTGTGATATTTTTCACGATAATTTAATCTGTCATTGTCCTGCTTTATTAAAATCTTATATTTTACTTTATTCAATAAAAACGACAGAATTTGAAAGAAAAGATAATATTATATTATAATATATGAATATTAATTTTTTAGCTGTGTTAATCTTTGCTATAATGATGAATTGATTGATGTACGACATTTAATTCTTATATCTCACGGAACAAAGTATGCTGTTTCACAATCGCGATTATTCCTCGAAAACAATTATCAACAGCGTGATCAATTGACTTCTATAAACGTCTCCTGAGCATATTGAGGTGACTATTATTTATTGGAGCAGTTACTTTGCAGTTTACTGTTTTTCATTCAAAACAGAAATCGAAATGATAGGAAATAGAAATTATAAATTATTGCTGATAATAATAATCATTCCCGTAAAGATATTTAGATTTCAATATGTATCTTTCATTGCGTTTTAGCTTTAGATATACATATAATAGTTTGTTTAATTTTGGCTTTTCAAAACGCGAAGTGTGACATGAATCGAAAACCGGAGCGAGCAATTCAAGTAACGGGAAATCTGTGTTGTATCAACTGTTTTAATACACATATTAACCATACATAATAATGTACAAATAATTAATACAAATATTGATAATACATGTATTTTGTGAGGTTTCGAAATGTACATGCAATACAGAAGTTTGTTTATGCATTCACAGAGAATCCTTTGTGTTTTAACTAGCTGTTAAATTGACTTTATTAATCGTATTAATCGTATCGAAAATTTCTTAGTGATGAGTACGCGCGATTATAATTAATTATGTTTTTGCGTAGGTGTATGTGAGTGTCATGAAGAAATAAAGAAAAAACAAGAAAGAAACAGAGAAGAAGGAGAAGGGGATTCAGAGAGGCATCGAGAGACAGCGGAACAACGGGGTGAGTAATCTATTTTATTTGCAAATCAATCGTTTGTAATTATTTTATGTGAATGATAATTATTATTTGAAATATTAATCATCACGGGCGTCGCTGTAACAGTATTTATATTTCAACGGGTAGCAAATATCACAATTCTCTTGCTGCTCTACTTCATATCAGTAAATGGTAAATCATATTTTATTTCAATTTGAGGATTTATGGAAATTGTCTATCAGGCACACATATGATACGTGTAACATATACATGTATCAAATTAAAAGCATAAGAATATTATGGACAGATGTATTAATATTTTACGAATTTATTGGACTCTTAAAATGGACATGTTAAAATAGATCAGTAATATTTAACGTCT